GTATAAAGGCCATTTCCCAGGCCAAGCAGGGAGAGTGGATGAGATGGGAGAGTGTGGAACAACGCAAGATGGGCTGGCAAGACCTTCGGTCAATGGAAGAGAGTAGGATCAGTTTCCTTATCAGGTCAACATATGATGTTCTCCCATCACCACAGAACCTAAACCTCTGGGTAGGAGAGGATCCCTCTTGTCCTTTGTGTTCATCACCTGCCACATTAAGGCACATTTTGACAGGATGTAAGGTGGCTCTTAGCCAAGGTCGGTTTACTTGGCGCCATGACCAAGTACTGCGATGTTTGGCTTTAGCATTGGAAGGCCGATGTTTGGCTTTAGCATTGGAAGGCAAGCGTAACATGACCAATAAGTTGCCACCTGTTCTAGCAAAACATTACACACAGAAGACAATATTCCTCCGCCCAGGCGAGCAACCACCAAGAAAAGGTGTTAAAATCAATTCTCGCCCAGGACAACTGGAAGCTGCTAGGGACTGGAAAATGCTGGCTGATCTTGATCAACGGTTTATTTTTCCACCTGAGATTGCCACCACTAACCACCGACCAGATATTGTTTTGTGGTCTGGATCAGCACGCATTGTTCAACTGATAGAGTTAACAGTGCCATGGGAGGATGCTGTAGATGAGGCATATGAGAGGAAGAAACTGAGGTATGCTCATCTGGCCACTGAAGCAGAACAGCGAGGATGGAGAGTCCAGGTTTATCCAGTGGAAGTGGGTTGTCGAGGATTTGTGGCACACTCTACAACCCAGTTCCTCAGAGACGTCGGATTCAGTGGCCAAGCGTTGCGTCGCACAGTAAAGAGCTTATCTGAAGCAGCAGAGAGGAGCAGCAACTGGCTGTGGTTGAGACGGAAATATTCTGGCTGGCTGTGTACAGGCTGCCACGCTACGGTTTCGTAGAATTCTTGAAAAACTCGAAGAGTTTGTTGGTTTATTTGTATAGTTTGCATAGTAATTACAGTTATTACGTTCCTGTGTATATTGCGTGAATGAGGGTTGGTGTTTGGGCAGATATTGTGTTTTGCGGTAGGTAGTATGCCATACGGAACCGTTGCCACTGAACCTACTTTAACGAAGACAGTGGGGCTCGACAGCCTTAGTCAAACGGGTTGGCGCGTATGGTTGGGTTGCGGAGAGATTGTGAGATTGTGGTTAGGTCACATGTGAACTACGAGGAAGGAGCTACCTCAGCAGCAGGAGGGATGTAAAGGTCAGTAAGCTGGGCTGAGTTGAGTGGGGGAAGGAGGGGGGTGACTCTGGGACACCAGAGTCACTGTTGAGCCCTCTTGAGGTGTCGTGGGCTAGTCAACGAAACACTGAGGACGGAAGGTGCCCACTTGAAGACCCTAGAGATGTCCCCTACTCGGCTCAATCCAGACGGTTGTCGTGCTGGTCCACTGGGGAGACCACACTGTAGTTGCAGCCGTTGTGTGTGCTGACGCGCCAAGTACACTGCAGCCGTTAACGCCGGACAGAAGGAGATTCACATCACCATATGAAAAGAAGCGTAAATGGATGGAGAAGCATAGGTTACTGTAAAGCTACATCTTAGTTTGTGCTTATCTTGGCGAAAGCCGAGTACAAATCAGCATGAAGTTTTAACATCTACTCTCGTGTAATGGAAATCTCAGTTTGATCTAACGCAGAACCCGTTTTTTTTGTTTTATTTATTTTTTTAAAGGAAGAGAAAGAGAAAGTGTTAGTATTACTGGAACAAGTGCTGCCGAAAGAGATGCGTCTTCAACCGTTTCTTGAAAATGGCTACGGACTCAGCAGCTCTGGTTGAGTTGGGTAGGTCATACCACCAGCAGGGAACAGTCATGGCACACATCACTCCTCTCCTCACAAAATTGCACTGGTTGCCAGTTGCCGCTCGCATCAAATTCAAGTCACTGACTTTTGCCTACAGAACAACCACTGATTCTGCTCCCTCTTACCTAAACTCATTACTTCAGACTTATGTGCCATCCAAAAACTTAACTATAATACATATATACAAGTCTTTTTTGTGACATTGGGTTGCACAGTTTTCATTTAGGACACTTTTTTTTCATACACAGACACATACAAATGCATGCATACATATGCATGCACACACCACATGCTAAGATACGTGAAAGAGTAATGGCCATCCGCTTCCCAAGTTTCATTAAAAATCATCCCAATCCCCTCTTCTGCTGTCTACCACTTCTTTCACCATGTATTTGTTCGTTTCTTTTATTAAAAACAAAACACTCTAACCTGCCGCGCTTCGTATCTCTGTTCAAATCCTTCCTTCCCGCTCTGCCAGAAAGCTGCTGTCATTTGCTGACGGAAAGCATGAAATTACCTTAATAAGCTGTATATTGCCGAAAAGCGCATATTGTCTACTGTCAGGGGCAATTTGAATGGTTTTGATAGTGCAAACGGTTGAAGAGTTACGGTAAAATGAATACAGCTTGCTGGTATGTGTCGGCGACAACACAGCCGGTTTAAAAGGGTCAAGGTTCATGGCAGCTGCGTCTAACGTGATACCTTTGCTGCACATGAGACCCCTGCAGTGGTGGCTTAGGGTCATAGACAGTAAAATAAATGGACACAGCGACCCCCTTGATTTCAACGGAGAAAAGTGAAGCCCATTAGAAGTACTCACTTCCTGATGGCTGAGTGTACTGCGCAGGTTCAAACTGAGCTTGACGACATAGATGTGACGTGAGCAACCTGTCCGTCTTCAAGTAGCTGTGCCAAGAGAAATCTGAATCATTCCCTTCCGAATCTCGCAGAGACGGAGAGCGTGAGTATTAGCTGTCCATGAGCTAGCAACATGATCAACTTTATGACTCTCTATTCGCTTCTCCCTTGACTTTATGGGGCTTTATGCCTCCACGTCCCCCCGATTGCCTGCAAGCTTCTCCGCCTGTCTATAAGGTAATTTCTCGACTGTGCAACAGAGAGTCGAGTGGTTATGACGCAATCGTTAGCCTATTTTTACAAAAACTGCTCATACAGGGCCATAACGTTAGATACAGGGTAATGGAGCCTTTTATACATTGTTGTGTTTATTTAGAAATAAATAATGGACAAATGGAGTCTTTAAACACCTCAGATGTAAAGTTATTCGCTGTCAAAGTGACCCGAAAATGATTGGGAGTCAATGGAATGCTAACAATTCAATTCAATTCAATTCAAATTTATTTGTATAGCGCTTTTCACAATACATATTGTTTCAAAGCAGCTTTACAGAAAGTGCATTTCAGAAATGTACATAGAAAAATACAGTTAGTTAATCATCATGTATTAATTTAGGGCATAACATATCGCCGGCGTTGAGTCGTCTCTTCACAGGCGTCGAGTCGTCTCATTGCAGGTGTTGGGGCATCTGAAATCTCCGTGAGAGGCTGGATACAGACTGGAGCTGACGAACGCTATTTACCTCGGGACTAGCGTCCCGAGATAACAGCAGAAAAGCAGATGGGAAATAATTAGCGTAGCTGCTGTTCATAATATTAATGCATTCGATCTGATTCAACAGTGGTATAAAAGGTAAGCATTATGTGAATGCTTGGCTGAAGAGATGCGTCTTTAATCTAGTTTTGAACTGGGAGAGCGAGTCTGAGCAACGAACAGTATCAGGAAGGCTATTCCAGAGTTTAGGAGCTAAATGTGAGAACGCCCTCCATCCTTTAGTGGATTTAGGTATCCTAGGAATGACCAGAAGCCTCGAATTTAGGGATCTTAAAGAACGCGATGGATTGTAGGGCGATAGAAGATCCATTAAATACACAGGAGCTAAACCATTTAGGGCTTTATAGGTCAGTAGTAATACTTTGTAATTGATACGGAACTTAACCCTTTGAGCGCCAAAGTCGCAAAATTGCGACAAGACGTCATACTTAATAAAACAGGCTGTAGCTCCTAATATGGTGTAATATCTATCTTCTTCTCCCTACCACTAGATGGCAGACATGTAATACTTCGATTCAAGATCAAAATGACGTCATGTTCCTATTCAAAGTGTTGGAGGAAACAGCAGAGCAAGTGAGCGATCGTGTCATTCATGCGGAAGCAGTTCAGTTCAGAGCGTCTGAGTAAATTGTGAGATTTGTGAGAGAAAATCATCAAATGGCTAATAAAAACTTGTACCGTGAGGATGTGTTGCAAATGTTATTCGCCGATTCTGACTCTGAAGGGGAATATTTGCCTTTTGTAAATGACGATCGGCCGTCTAATGATCGCGCTTCTCCCGGTACATCTTTGCCGCGCAATGGTGCCGCCCGCGCGTCTCCCGGTACATCTTTGCCGCGCAATAGTGCCGCGCGCGCTTCTCCCGGTACATATTTGACGCGCAATGGTGCCGCGCGCGCTTCTCTCGGTACATATTTGCCGCGCAATGGTGCCGCGCGCGCTTCTCCCGGTACATCTTTGCCGCGCAATGGTGCCGCCGCGCAAGGCGCGAGTGTTCACGAAGCACAAACAGACAATTTCGACCATTTGCCCAACGGGGATGGAGGTGGCAGGGGTGGACGTGGTCTTAGTGTACATAGGAGAGCTGTTGCTAGAGGTAAAGGCAGTAGGGGTAGAAGAAATAGGGCTGGAAGTAGCGATAGATCTTTGGATCCAGTCAGAGCGGCTCGAGGTGGGAGTGGCCGAGGTAGACGTGGCCGTGCTGTGCGTGGGAGAGCCGGGAGATGTGATAGAGGCAGCAGGGGTGATCTGGCTCTAAATAGGGATGGAAATAGCGATGACAATGGTGGCTGGGTTTTTTTGAGAAATGAAGAAGTGTATCAGGACTGGATCAAACACTTTGATGAGCCTGTTGGTTATCTAGGAGAGAAAGATTTTACCAGTGCTGCACCCTTAGACTTTCTGTCCCTTTTTCTGACTGATGACTTCTGGAACCTCATTACAAATGAAACCAATAGATATGCTCATCAGTTTCTAAACTCCCAGCAGCTGAAACCCAATTCCAGATTTCATAATTGGTATGATGTGTCTGTCTCAGAGATGAAGGCCTTCCTAGCACTGCATTTGTGTATGGGGCTGGTAGAGAAGGCAGAAATTGAGGATTACTGGGCAGAATTTTGGCCAACTTACACACCTGGGTTTGGCAAAGTAATGTCTAGGAACAGATTTGAGATCATTCTGTCTTTCCTTCATTTCACAAACAATAGTGAGTATGTGGGGAGGGGTCAGCCAGGTCATGACAGGCTGTTCAAGGTGCGTCCAGTAATTGAGCTGATAATTCCGCTTTTCTCCGCAGTTTATGGTCCACTCAAGGAGCTTTCTCTTGATGAAATGACCATAGCATTCAAGGGAAAGTCCACCTTGAAACAATACAACCCTAAAAAACCTGACAAGTATGGCTACAAGGTGTATGTTTTGAGTGAGGCCAGCTCAGGTTATGTTTTGCAGTGGTCCATGTACACTGGCCAAAATGCTAATGCTGATGCTGATTTAGGTGCCACCCATCTAATTGTTCGTCAGCTGATGGCCCAATACACAGGGAAAGGGCATGAGGTGTACATGGATAGTTACTACATATCACCAGCCATAGCAAATGAGCTGGCACATAATGACACTGGTATGTGTGGGACAGTGAACTGCAAAAGGCGTGGTATGCCGAGGTGTCTGAGACAAACTGAGTTGCCTTTGAGGAAAGGAGATGACCCAGTGTTCATGAGAAATGGCAAACTGTTAGCTTGTGCATGGCATGACACAAAGCGTCTCACTATGCTCTCGTCTCTTCATGGGAACTCATGTGTTCGGAAACGTATCAGGTCAAAGCAAAGCGACACAGGTTTTCGTGAGATAAACAGACCTGTGTGCGTTGACAGGTACAACACCTCCATGGGAGGAGTAGACACCTCTGATCAGAGGATGAAAACCTACCTCTTTCCACACCGTTCAAGAAAATGGTACAATCGCATCTTCAATGCGATTCTGAGCATCAGTGTAGTGAACTCCCATATAATTTACTCCAAGTGTGCACCTGGTCCGCACAAGCCACTGAAGGCCTTCGTCCAGGACATTATTACTGCTTTGCTTGAGGGCTATTCCAAGAGGGAAAGCAAAAAACCAGGAAGGCCTTCAGTGGAGGGGGGGGAAATGCCACAGAGGCTCACTGAGCGCCACTGGCTCCGCGTTGCAGATGATCGGCCAGATTGTGTCGTTTGTTCTGATCGCACACGCTCTAAGGGCCGCCGGCAGACAAAGTACAGGTGCAGTCAGTGTGGTGTAGGTCTTTGCGCTGTGCCATGCAATGAGAGGTACCATACTCTCAAAAACTATAAACTGTGTCACCTAGATACCTGATTTAGCAGATAGCTGGTCAACTGATCAAAAAATAGGCACATGGATTTTACTGCTACTGTTCACATGTGTTTTACTAAAGTATTGTAATATAGTAATAATTTAGTATTTTCTCCTATTTTATTGTTGGTTTCCTCTTTTCCGATCATTTAGAATGAGGATAAAAATAAATAAAATAAAAACATGTAAATAAATTCCATAATCAATTCTATATCTACTATTTCCTGAATATTACTGATGAACTGATAAAAAATTAGGCTACTGTTCACATGTGTTTTACTACTAAAGTATTGTAATATAGTAATAATTTAGTACTTTCTCCTATTTTATTGTTGGTTTCCTCTTTTCCGATCATTTGGAATGAGGATTAAAAAAAAAAGCAAAAAAAAGTATGTAAATAAATTCCAAAATCAATTCAATATCTACTATTTCCTGAATATTACTGATGAACTGATCAAAAAGTAGGCTACTGTTCACATGCGTTTTACTACTATATAGTATAGTAATAATTTAGTACTTTCTCCTGTTATTGTTGGTTTCCTCTTTTCTCATCATTTGGAATGAGGATAAAAAAATTTTTTTTTTTAAAAACATGCAAATAAGTTCAAACATCAGTTCAATATCTAGTATTTTCTGAATATTATGAAATTCAAGAGGGCCGCCCCCTGATGATGTCATAATATGCAAATTAGATGAGTATATTTACACCCCACATAAACTTTCAGTCATCCCCAACATTTTTCTAATTCACAGTAGATCTCTATCTTTAATCCCTTTCAAGCCACAAGCTTTTGAAATTTTGATGTCAAAATCCAGCATTTTTTCAAAAAAACCTTGGCGCCTAAAGGGTTAATAGGTAACCAGTGTAGAGATGATAAAATTGGTGTTATATGATCATATTTTCTTGACCTAGTAAGAACTCTAGCGGCTGCATTTTGCACTAACTGTAGCTTGTTTATTGAGGATGCAGGACAACCAGCTAATAAAGCATTACATTAATCTAGTCTCGAGGTCATGAATGCATGAACAAACTTATCTGCATCAGAAACAGATAGCATGTTACGTAATTTAGCAATGTTTCTAAGGTGGAAAAAGGCAGTTCTTGTAACATATGAAATATGATTTTCGAAAGACAAGTTGCGGTCTAGTATAACACCCAGGTCTTTTACAGTAGTGGATAAAGTAACAGGACATCCTTCTAAATTAAAGTTGTATTGTAAGAGATTTTGTGGGTAGTTTTTTGGACCAATAAGTAATACCTCAGTTTTATCTGGATTTAATAGCAGGAAATTACACGTCATCCAGCATTTTATATCTTTAAGACACTCTGTCAATTTAGATAAGTTAGTGTTTTCATCTGGTCGTGATGAAATATATAATTGAGTGTCATCAGCATAGCAGTGGAAATTAATTCCATGTTTTCTTATAATATTACCAAGTGGCAGCATATATATTGAGAATAGCAGAGGGCCTAACACCGATCCTTGCGGCACTCCATAGTCTACTGACGTTATCTTCGATTTTTCCCCATTTAAACAGACAAAATGGTAACGGTCTGATAAGTACGATCTGAACCAGCTTAATGCCTGTCCCTGTACACCAGTGTAGTTTTGTAGTCGATCCAAGAGTATTTTATGATCGATAGTGTCAAACGCAGCACTAAGATCGAGTAGAACTAGTATTGAGATACAGCCTTGGTCAGAAGCTAAAAGTAAATCATTTGTAATTTTAACTAGCGCAGTGTCTGTGCTATGATGCGGTCTGAATCCTGACTGAAATTTTTCATATATCTCATTTTCTTGCAGGAAAGAACACAATTGAGCGGACACAGTTTTTTCTAGTATTTTAGACATAAATGGAAGATTTGAAATGGGTCTGTAATTTGCTAAGTTATTTGGATCTAATTGCGGTTTCTTAATCAGAGGTTTTATTACTGCCAGCTTGAATGTTTTTGGAACATGACCTAAAAATAAAGACGAGTTAATAATATTGAGAAGAGGCTCTTCCACTACAGGTAACACTTCTTTCAGTAGTTTAGTGGGTATTGGATCTAATAAACATGTTGTTGGTTTAGATGCAATGATAAGTTTATTTAGCTCTTCCTGTCCTATAGTTGTAAAGCGGTGTAGTTGTTCTTGAGGGGCCATAATTGAGGCTGAATCATAAGACACCATAGAGGATTGTACATTTACAATTGTGTTTCGGATGCTTTCTATTTTCTCATTGAAGTAATTCATAAAATCATTACAGCTATACTGTAACGGAATATTTTGCACTGGTGATGTCTGTTTATTTGTTAGTCTAGCCACGGTGTTAAATAAAACCTTGGATTAAAAAAATTAAAAAAAATACCTTGGATTATTTTGGTTATTTTCTATTAGTTTGCGGAGATGCTCAGCCCTGGCTGCTTTTAGAGCCTTTTTATAACGTGACATACTGTCTTTCCACGCAATTCTAAAGACCTCTAAATTAGTTTGTTTCCATTTACGCTCTAAGTTACGAGTTTCTCTCTTGATAACATGTGTAGTACTATTGTACCATGGTGCTTTAGTTTTCTCTCTAACCTTTTTTAATCTAATTGGTGCAACAATATCTAATGTACTAGAGAAAATGGTGCTCAAACTGCTAGTCATTTCCTCTAGTTCATCTGTTTGTTTGGGTTCACTGACCAGCTGAGATAGATCAGGTAAGCTATTTGAGAATCTATCTATAGTGGTCGGAAGGATTGTTCTGCCTGGTCTATAACGTGGCGCAACATGACAAATTTCAGCAGTGCGTAGTATAAAAGTTACCATGTAATGATCAGTGAGATCGTCACTTTGCGGTATAATATCTATATCGGTTGGATTGGTTCCGTATGATATAATTAAATCTAGTGTATGATTTAGACGATGAGTGGGACCACTAACGTTTTGCTTGACCCCAAAGGAGTTTAATAAATCTGTAAACGCAGTCCCTAACGCATCATTTGTGTTATCTACGTGTATGTTAAAATCTCCAACAATTATTGCTTTATCGGCATTGACCAATAGATCTGAGAGAAAGTCTGCAAACTCTTTTAGGAATTCAGCATATGGCCCTGGAGGTCTATATACAGTAGCCAAGGCTAGAGATAATAGGGATTTCTTTCTTACATCTAAGAGCGTAACATTTAGCACAAGTACTTCAAACGAATTAAACCTGTGACCTGTTTTCTGAGTAACATTAAGAATATCTCTATAGATTGTTGCAACTCCGCCGCCACGACCGATCGGACGGGGCTCATGCTTATAACAGTATCCTGGCGGGGTAGACTCATTTAGACCGAAATACTCATTTGGTTTAAGCCAGGTTTCAGTAAGGCAAAGTACATCGAAGCTATTATCTGTGACCATTTCATTTACAATAACCGCCTTAGGTGTGAGCGATCTAATGTTTAGAAGACCTAGTTTTAGAAATTGTTTTTGTTCACTGATATTTAGATTTTCTCGTTTAATTACAATAAGATTTTTCCTAGATCCTACACTAGATTTATTGTTTGGCCTCACTAGACGAGGAATAGACACAGTTTCTATATAATGTTCTACACTACTTATATCAATTAAGTTGGGACAGCAAAGACTGTGATTTGGACTTTGACTTACTAGTCAGATGGAGTGTAACATCTTGGGAGATGTTGTCCGACAGCACAGCCGCTCCGATTCTGCTGGGGTGCAGGCCATCAGCACGGTAGAGCCTAGGTCGCTCCCAGAACAGATTCCAATTATTTACAAAGAGCAGTTTCTGTTCATTACACAATGACATTAACCATTCATTTAGTGCAAATAATCTACTGAACCTTTCCTGTCCTTGTCGGTACGTGGGAAGCGGTCCAGACACGATGATCGTTGCCTCAGGCGCTGTGCTGCGTACCGTCTCGATCAGGCTCCTGTAGTCCTTCTTCAGAACCTCCGTCTGCCGCAGCCTGATGTCGTTCGTTCCCGCGTGCAGCACCACAGCTCCAACGCGCTCTTCACCGTTCAGGATCTCGGGAACCTGTGCGGCGACATCAAGAACACGAGCACCAGGAAAGCAGTGAGTGCGCACCTTACCCTTACCTGAGGTAGCACGGACATGACGGACCATGGAAGTGCCGATGATCACGGCGTCATCGCGTTCCGACTCGCGAAGAGGGGAGAAGCGGTTCCGGGTGGAGATCTCGAAGACCGGGAGGGGCGGAGAGGTTCTTGGTCTGGTCCTGGCTCGTGTCTTCCGCTGTGGGATCACCCAGGGTCCATGGTGTTGTGTAGGTGCCGGAGTGAATGAAGCCAGAGATGATCGCGTCCTCCTGGGCAGAGAAACGCACGGAGTAGACGAAGTCGGAGTCAAAAAGTTACTAACCACTGACTTGTGAGCATCGGCGCGTGACGTTTCAAGCGCTGATCGCCGATCCCGCAGCTCGGCTTGCCTCTCTAGCAGACCACGGATCTGTTTCTCCACCGATTCCAGCTCCAATCGTACCGAAATCAGCTCGAATGTGTCCTCACCTGCACTCAGAGGTAGCGTTAGACACACATCCGATATGTTCGCCATTATAACAGATGAACAGTAAATTAGTAGTGATACTACCAATATCACTACTAATTTAGGACTGGAATGCTGGATATAACCTGTATCCTTTCAGTTAAGCGGGTGTACAATCAGACGGTCAATAGGCGCGAGGCCACGCGTGAAATGCTAGCGGGCTGAAAGGCTAGTAGCCGAGATTCGCAAAGTTGGATCTAAGTAGCGATATCAAAGCAATCCGATTGTTTTTTATAGGGAATAGTATCGAGGATAAGTTCACACGATGTAAAAATAGAAAGTGCTTGTTTATAAATGAGTGGTAAAGAAGAAAATCAAGGATTAATGAATCAATTCGACGGAGCTACAAACACAAACACAGACCGCACGCGCATGCGCAGAACATTATATGCAGGTGATGCAGGTGATGAAGCCAGAGATGAAGCCAGCAGGTGATGGTCTGCTACAATGGTGGCCCCCAG